TTGGCTGTTCTCACCTTCACCTGCCTCAGTTTAGGGAATTAAACACTGTGTGAAACTAAACTGAATGCTAATGAAGTTGTAGAAAGTTTAGTTTCCAGGACTGAGGCTGTAAGTGAGCATGTGCCAAAGATTCAGCCCCTGTAAAGCAGCATTAAGTGGTCAAATATTAAACACCAGCACTAATGTTTCAACTCTGGTCGATACGATCGGTATTCTTCAAATCAAGAGCACGTTGTGGCGTCCCGTGAATACACCAAATTACACAAATAAGAAGACAGAGTAAGTTTTGGGTAGGCATACAAACCTGCCTATGCAGCTTTAATTTAAAGCCACACATTGAATTTTCTCCTCATAAGTGTTGCTTGCTAAGCATGTTGCAAACAGTAAAATCCCTGTATATTTTGTCAGAAGACTGAGTTCTTATTTTTTATGTGTAATGAGAGAGTAAGGAATAGCACAATAAAGAAGGAGTCCCAAACATGTCGACTACAAACTTCTAAGATCTAAGCAGTGCAAATGAAACACCAGACCACACAGATGACAAAGGCACAGACGGGAGAGGGAAGAGACAGTGACGAGATGAGAGGGAGACAGAGGTGGAGGAGCGAGTGACATCACTGCGCCATCATGGGTGAGTGCAGCAAACTCAGTCATCACCTGGAGTCATACTGAGGGAGCGGGGAGGAGAAGCTGCAAAATAAACACATGGGAGACAATGCAGGAGGCAAACCCCCAGAACCTAGTTTTAGTAGCAGTTCCATAATCACTGGTGGGATCTCTAATGACTACTCGAGATGAAAGAAGACTAAAAAGGTGAAAAAAACAAGGGATGCAGTAAAAATAAGGACAAAAAAATGAGGACAAAATGACAATGAACACAGTAATATTTAAATAAACAGGCACGCTTAGAAGGTAAAATAATGTCTCATAAATAGAAAGAAAGATCCAAAACTTAAAATGATAGATCCCACTATTTAAATTCTCAGTAACACCAAAGATATTTTCAGTTCTGTGCAAGTTCTGTGCAAAGACAGCACGCTCTATTCTGAGCAGATCTTAACACTTTATGATGTCGTATATTCAAAGTATGTAAAAGACGCATCGGTTTATCTAAGTGAAACACATGAGCCACTGTACCATGAGCTCACAAAGTATGCGGTTTGTTTCCATAATGATAAAATAGATGACGACAGAATGACGGCAGTGAACGTGGGGGAACTCATCGGCCATGTCTCTGGTTTTATGGTACGACGCGAGAGTTTTAGAGGGTGAAGTGTGTCTTGTTGCTTTAATGTAAGGTGTACAGTAGCAGCACTGCAGAAATCCCACAGCCCTGCACCTTGTCTGCATCAGTGCTGCAGAGTTTGCTGAATATTGACTCTTTGGGGGAGAGCAAAAGACAGTAAAACATTTGCGTGCAGTAAGCATATAAAATGTGTGATTTCTGCAAATAGTTATATGAATGCACATGCAGTATGTGTGTCGTTTCACATGTACTGTAAGTGTATGCATGCTGGGAAACATCTTCCCAGGCTGGATGACAGTGCAGCCGTTCTTACCCAGAGTGAATTGGACTAGACACAGTGTTGTGGCTGTGATCCATAGTGTCAGGAGTCCAGCTGTAGCGTCTCATACACTCCGAACTGTAATCTCTGGTCACAGCAAGGTGCTGGTTGAGGAAGATCCAAAGACACGGTAAAGAGCACAGAAAGTAAAGAATGGGTTAAGAAGAAAAAGGACGACAAAGAAAACAGACAGCAGATTTGCAAAACTGACTAATGGATCCAGACAAAAGGAACAAGGTGCAAGATGACAAAAAGTGAACAAATTATCACTCACTGCAATGATAGATATGGGCTGATTACATTTACAGCTTCTATTTCACCAATGTTTTCCATCACTGTCCATGTTCTTACAACAGCCAGGACAAAAAGGCACTTGAGGCGCATAAATAAAAGATGATACTGTATAATTATGATGACTGAGAAACTGGAAACTAAAGATCAGCTTTAATAAAAGAAGAAGGATGTGAACACTGAATCTTGGAACTCTCGTACACTGAAAGGAGCATGGGAATGACTTATGGCAAAGACCCAAAACAAACAAATATACAGAAAAGCAAAACTTGAGAGAAATGGAAGCTGAACCACTGCGAATGAAAAATAACAAAACCGACGAATGAGTCGGACATCCAACGACATTTATACCTTATTGAGTGGATCAACCAAGTAGGAAATGTCTTTACAGACACTCTGAAGCTTAGGGAAGAAGAAAAACAGTTCAGCAGTTGCATTATAGGTACTAGATGGCCCACACAAATTAATTTATGGTGCCGTGCTTCACTGCAGGATTTGTGCTTCACTGAGGAAAACGATTTTAACCCCTTCAATACCTTAATTTTGATTTTAGCATCTACATTCAATAGGTGACTGTAACTGAAACTTCACTCATCAAAAGGCAGATAATTCAAAGCAAACATAATCTCATATACATAATATTTACAGGTTAATACAGCACCAATTTACCAGGAAGCTCTCTGACATAAGACAGAGTAAAGTAGTGTTGTTAAATAGTCAAATGATTTCCAAAACATCTGCTTTTATAATTCAAGACAACTACAAAATATCGTTACGTTTTCTTTGGGATCTCGGGTGATGCTGAAAGAAATATTAACAATAATTTCAGGAAAAGAGTTACAGGTTCTTTTATTGCTACAGACCAACATAAACAACGTAATGACAGATGAGCGCTGCAGAGCACTGCAGTTTTCCCTTGGGAAGCTGGAGGTGGGAGGCTCAAGGCTCTTGGGTTTGAATAAAGCTTTCATCAAGGTGCTATATGCTCACTCTCAGCACTTTGGCAAAAGCAGGCATGGCATTAAGACTTCTTCTGTTATGACCCTTGTGCAAGATGAATGAAACTACTCGGATTCTGCCTTTAATCTATCCAATTTGTGTTTTAATCAGGAAAGACAACAATTACAACAAAAACCAAAGAAGAAAATGGGGATAGAAGGTGACAGAAGGCTGGGAAATAGTGTCGAAAGAAATGAAACTTACCGTGTCTTTTGTAGGAGCCAGAATCTCTTCAATCATCATACTGTCTCGTGCAAAGGAGCTCCGGTTGAGCGTGTTGGACCTATCCGAACTGAAGGAGCGGAGGCTACATGTTACCATGCAACCCAGTGCCGCGGGCAACAACAAGTGACGGGCCGGGGGACACGGCATAAAACAAAAAGCAAGGAATCCATTACTACATGTAACCTCCAGGGGTTTCACTTACTGGACAGAGAGTCCAAAAGTAATATGGGGAAAATAGAGAAGCAGAAGAGTCTGCATTTGAACAGGGATAAGATATTGCAGCACGTTATTCAAAGATGGAAATGAGAGTGAGGTCAGTTTTTTGCATTAAGAGATAGAGGGAAAGAGGAAGAGGAGAAGTAGGCGGCCTGAAAGGAAAAAAGACAGCTCTGTCTATACGTCTGTCATGAGCACTAGTGTAACTACGTCTGCCTGAATGATGACGTATGACAGAATAGCAGACTGTACTTATATGCACCTGGTTGGCAGATAAGAGCTTAAAGTGTTCAATTCTGTGCAGACGTCATCAATGACAGGAAAAGGAACAAGATTCACTCAAAGATATTTCAACTGTTAAATCCGACTCAAGCTCAAAGGCTCACCTTCCTTTATTCTAAGATTAGCTGACCTAGACCTGTTTCAAAGGAGCAAAATACAAGAAGGGAAGCAGGTCGTTTCTATCTATCTTGCTGCAGTCTGCTTTATGGCTGTGTGTGGTGATGTGTGCCTATTTTTGCTGCCTCTTCGGCTCAGTGCAGTGCTGCAGATTCATTTCGGGCTTCTTTCTTGTGCTCCTTTTACAGCGATTTGATCATTGCAGAAGATGTGAAATATTCATTTGATGTGCGGTGACTAAACACTTACCTAAAATATATATCTTTGTCTGTGTGCAAAGAAGCACTTAAATATCATACGTGAAAGGTGCGTTGTTGTTGTTGTTGTTCGTGTAGGATACGCAGCTTCAGCTGTGAACAAAGCTGAAAACTCTGCCTTCGTTTCTCAGAGGGCATACTGTATGTGTGTATTGATGCGCCGTGCGTGAGTGCAAAAGGGGGAGAGTGGGTGAGTGAGGGGGAGAAAATGCAGAGCTCAGCGTGTTTGAGTGGGCACGCTATTCAGCACAGAGAGAAGCCCTTTATTCAGCAGAGCCTGCCTACCCCGGCATCGAAGTTACCAAGCAACTCTGTACGGGCTGAATGGACTCGCTGGCAAGGCAGCGCCGCACTATCCCCCCCTCTACTCTGTTCTCACCCCGACCATGTTTGTTTTTTACAGCTTCCTCCTCTTTCTCATTCTGCCTACCCTACTCCCCCCAAAAACATCAGCGCTTCTTCTTTTCTTTCTATGTTTTCATTCTTGCTCATTCCCTTTTATGTCCTCCCTGTAGTCAGCCTTTCATTTCTGCGTGTCATCCTTCTCCATAATGATCTCCTTCTCTCTCTGCTTTCTCATTTCCTGAGTCACGATGCTTTAACAATACTGTGAAGTTTATCAGTTCATCCACTCAACTAAAGACTTTTTCAACTTTGCCTCTATCCCACTGCTTTCCTCTAATCAATCAGCCCCTGCTTTAACACCTCCTTTCCTCTTTCCACTCCATTCATTTTTATGGGTAGTCACTCATAAAATCTACTTCAAATTTTCAATCTAGCATGCCAAAGTATGAACCAGTTAAGCACTGGGTCGAAGGGAGTTTTGTGGACTCAGAGAGGCAACTGTAGGCAACTGAGTCATAGTATATCCATGTGAGTGCTGCTGTGTTCGAATGCAAAGTTTCCATCTATGCAAACCAGAATTGAACAGCAGGAATCATGCCGAATACTTGTGGGACACCTCCAATTATGTCAACAAATTATTAATCCAATGATGTGTCCGATCCCTGGAAGTTACACTCAGAGACACTCCAAAAAAATATAAGGTGCCACATAAGAAGAAGCCACGTCAAAACATTAGTAGATTACTCCACACAACTCAAAACTGAAAGACGGCTCCGCAAAACAGCTGCTTATATTTTCTTATGTCCAGCAAAACTGTCTCTTTTGCACACCTACATCAAAACAATAGACACAGATTTCACTAAGAGGTATGAGTTAAAAAGTGGAGTGATGATGATGATGATGATCTAAAAATACAACACGTAACAGAAAATGGGTCAAATACGCTACCACGAACAGAGAAACAGCAACACTGGATGACGTCAATGTCCAATGAATGACTGGTGGTTTGAGTTAGAGGTCTTATGAGTGTTGGATTGGGGTTAAAAAGTAGTTCACAGGGTCACAGGGAAGAGACACCATTCACAGATCTTTTACCTACTACTACTGGTACCACAACTACTACTCTTTTCTTACCTGATTCTAGGGCTAGAATGAGAGACAGGATGCAAGAAAACAAGAAAAAAAGAACAAAATAGCAGAGTGAAAAGCAAAGCATTTTGAAGACGTTCAAGCATGATGTGACATTGATGCTGTGCTTTTGGTGGCACGCTACGGCAAGGTTGAGCGAATTTTTCCCGTTTTACATGAGAAGGTGTTTGCGTGTATCCAGCCCACTCAAAAAGCAGACCATGCAATGTCAATGTCATAAATGAAAAGGTAAGGGAAAGAAAAGAACTTGCTCAGCATCACACATTCACTGATCAATACATTATTTTATACATTTCCGCACTCCTGCAAAAACAGTCAGCTTAACAAAGTGTATGTGCAATGTATGTACATGTATATGCAGATTTTAGTATATGTATCTGTAGTTTGCAGAGGAAGAAAGTTCTATGGAAACTATGGAAGGACTTGATCATTTGTAAGGAGAAGTCAGTGTAATAATAATGTAATAAAACTCTGAAATAGAAAGGTGAGCACAGCTTTTAAGCTTGCATGTGCTCCTCGCTGTTTGTACAAAATAGTTCTTTCAAACTAACATTTTGCGTAATTCAACGTATTATCTCTCTGTCGAAACTTTTTCCAGGATCAGCCCATCAAAACAAAGTCGCTCACGTGGAATCCCTCCAGTGTTTCCCTTGTTTGCCTTGCCCTGCTGATGTTAGCAGCTTCCTGTCACAGTCAGCGTGTCGTTGTTTTTATCAATCCAGCCATCACAGTGCCATCTGCCATCTGTCAGTGCGGTTACAATACACACTGTGGGGCTGCACAACACACCACCGGAGTGTTTTCATTGGCGCCTGCCATTTTTCCACGACATCCTTTGTCCACTATGTGAAAGTGTAGCTACACCGACACGCAGCTGTTCGCCCAGAGCATCAAAGGTATCAAAGCTTGCTAGCTCTTTGTACATTTTTTTTTTTTTGCCCGGGTTTCAAACAGGGTCACACAAAACGCTGAATCATTTAGTCAGGTTGAATCATTAGATGGCAACTTCCCAGCTGCGCTTTCTGGTGACTTCCATTATGCCGTGTTATTGTGTGTGAGCCTATATGTGTTTATGTTGCATATGTATGCATGTGTGTGTGCTCGGTGGAGGGGGCTGTGCATTATACTAACTATTCAAGAGCAACAAGAACAATATATGTCATATCAACTATGGCATTATAAATCTGTGGATTTAGGGTGCAAATATCGCAAAGATGATGTCACACTGTGAAGTACATCAATAGTTTTAATGTGCATATATATAAAAATGGCAGGTGCCTACCTGGCTGAGCGGGCTCCTATGCTGAAACCCATGTACCCCTCATGAGGGAGAGAGTCATCCCCCAACTCTTTGAGGTCCTGAGGCCGCAGGTATTTGTCTGTATCACCAGTCATTGCATCCTCACCTAATGAAGGGACGAAATCAGAAAACCCTCCTGTTAACTTCAAAAGCTAATCAGGGCAAGAGAGACGATGCGGCACCCAGCAAAGAAAAACAAGCCGACACCAGCCTCTCTTTTATTTGATTAGACTACTTAGAGAGGGCCTTGGCTAATTATCAGCATCCATCTGCCGTTAAATCAACCCAGACTATCTCACTGCAACTTTTCTTTCTTTCAGTCTATTCTTTTCATTTGTGGCACACCAACAACATGAAGCTGGAACACTCTTTAGAGGTGAGACTGTAGTATTAAAAGAGAAAGAGGCAGCAGCAAAGACACTTTGCGGTATATCTAGAGCTCTCCTGTAAAATCAAACGCAGCTCGTTTCAGAAGAGTCAAAGCAGAAGGTTTTATAGCTACCAAAGCCTCAGCACAATAAGCAAAGAATAAAGAGAAAGTGCAGAACCGCACCGCACCTCGATCGGCGGACCGGTGGACGATGACACGCCGGTCAATGAAGCCGCCGGGGCGGCTACAGTGTTTCCCCTTCTCCCTCATGTCCGGCTCTGTCCTGCCTGCAACACTCTGCTCCTTCACCGCAGCCCCTCCCCCTACCTTCAATACTGCCGCACTCCGATCACACACCACCACCAGTGTCAAGCAAGAAGACAAGGGATGGCAGCGTTTCCGGTGTCAGATTTCAAAATAAAACCAGTGGTGGAAGGGTTATAAATGAAATTATCTTTAGTCAAAACTAAAGACAAAGAAAAAAATTCAACCTGTTTACTCCCTATGTTTACACTTCATAAATTACAATTATAATGTTCATCAGCTACTCTTACAAAGAATACTGTGAACATGTTCTCTCAGGTGAAGCAAGGAAATTGATAAAAGATGCAAGATTTTCGAAGACATATCGCAATATTTTATTTATACTAAAGAAATATTTTTAACTAATAAATAATCTCTGTGTATTTAGTATAATTTTGAAGTCTTGTGCACCTTAATTTTAAAACACTGGGACAGAGAAATATCCATTATAATATCGCTTCCTGTCTGTTTCCAAAGCTCAATAAAAATGAAAGCGAAATATGCATATCTTATGATGTGGATGTAGCCTATGAAGTATTATTGAACGCATAACGATATCTTTTATTGTTGTGGCAGAGCGGATAATCCAACTTCCTGCGTTTCACAGATATTTATGTCTGACTTCACAGACCTGGAAAGGGATCGACTGCTCGCTGTTAGAATAAAGTGTGCCAGTCCCATTCAAGCTCAGTTATTCCACCACTTACACCCCGACACTGACACACACACATACACCCTCCTGTTCTAGCCTATATTTTAAAGCATATTCTGAATCCCCCCGCCCAAAAAACAAGCAAAAAAACAAAGCCTGCCTTTTCCGTCCCTCTAAGAAGAAGAAAAATCAAAAACTGTTCACAAATATAAAAAAGATGTTGATTATAGTTCACACAATAAAAACTACGTAAAATCAGTAAAAACGGAAAAAATAATAACCACATGTTATAGTGACAATTTCACATTGGCTCTCAGCAACTCTCACTTTCTTACTTTCTGTCTCTCGATCAATCCTCTGTGGCTTAGTAATTGCACCGGCTATTGAAACTTCTTTTAAACCCCCCGAGCGACTTACCTTTGTCCAGCGCAGCCATATCGATTACAGCTCTGTTCGTGTTTCGGCGGTAATTTCTGTTTCTTTAAAACGCCACAAAACGCCCACGGTGTAAAAACTGCAGAAAGTTTAAGACTATCAAGAAGTCCATTCAATGCTTCTGGTGCTGGTGGAAAAAGCTGCCCTCTCGTCACCTCAAACACTTAACTCCACTCCAACCAACTTGCGTGTTTCTTGCCCGTGCGCACATCCCTGCTGCTTTCGTTGCGGAAATAATGTAGATTAGAACCTCTCCAAGTTTTGCGCCTCCTTGTTGCACAAAAAGGACACGAGGAAACATAGAAACAGCCTAAGTCTAAGCCACCTGACATCAGTGGCCACACCGGGGTTAAATCTCTTGCAGGCGGCTCAAAAAAAAGCTCATCTCATTGGATTTAAAGCGAGAGAGAGACAGTGCGTCTCTGGCTCAGCAGCATCCACAACAAACTCCAGTTGAAGAGTGTCAACAGGGGCCGCGGTGGAAGTGTTTACCGCTCTGTGGAGAGCACAGTCAGCTGACAGATCGTTTGAGCAAATGCCTGGGAACGTCAGCATTTGAAAACTTTCACTGAGGTTTTATTCTTCCTCTGTGATGGAAATCCTAGAGGGAGTTTGGCTGTGTGTCAAAGTGGGAGTGGGAGCTACAATAATGACTAAATAACCACATAATTTTGCAATTTTTAATCTCTTGAGCAACATTTCTCTGTCTAGCTCTTCTGTCTCTGTGTTGCACACAGTGACTACAACTTGCACAAGAGTAAGAGAATGCAAGCAAAGCAGCAACGGTTAACTGCAGTAATGAAACTATTTCAGGCCAATGCCATAGGAATTATAGAAATCTATACTATGACGCTAACAGAGAAAATTAAAGATTTAAGTTATTCTCGATTAGTGGCTGTAGTCATGTATAGAAGTCATAAGGCAGGTCACAATAACACACAAGAAAACACACACACACAACAGCAACCACGGGGAGCTGTTAGAGTCACTCCAACCCGCAGCTTAATAGGATTGGCTTCCCTCATGTAGGATTAAAACAAGTTGAAGAAACTCTTCACTTACTCCTGCTACTTCTTTAACACACACCTACATAGAGCAAAACAACAGCATCCTGTAGAAAATGAAGGAGTGCAGATCTGAATACAACTGCTGTCTGAAGCCAGTCTGGTGGTGCTATTGGGCAAAGTGATTATCAAGGCCACAGAAGTGCAACGCTGATGAAATACACGCATGGTATAAACTGTTTATGTGGGGGACATTAAGTCATGGGCACTATATTTCCTATGTGAGGATCTTCAGAACAAACCCATCTCCTAAAACCTGATATGCGTGTATACTTGTTGAGTCTAGCTGTATCGCCTCACACAGAAACTCCACACCCCTTGACCAACATCCCCCGAGCAACAGCCCGTGAACGAGCTCATCAATTTTGCAAGAATCTTGGCTGTGTAGTTCCAAAACAAAGGACAGAGGACTGAGTGGACGGTCCTCTGTACCATAAACTTGGCAGAACATTGGCCTGCAGTCCTGAAGCAGCTACTCTGCTGCAAACTATGAAACCTGAATTTTACATACATTGAAAAATGATTTGACACGATGTATGCCGGCCTCTTCATATTCCAACTCTGCATTTTGATGTGTGTCACATTGATTTTGCTTTCATTTTTTTCACAGCTACACAATTTTGTGTCAAATAAAATGGCTACAGCTGGACTTTATTGTTTGTCTGCATGATTAAAGACTAAGGAAAAATAATAAATACAATAAAACAGTATATATGCACAACCCATGGAGCCTTAACAACATAATAACTAAAGAATAACCACAGCATTTAGTTTGAGTGGACAGTGTGTATTCTGGTCAGTGAGTAAGATCCTTTGAAAACGTTCCCATTACCATGAACAGCAAAGCAGAACAGCAGTACAGCAAAGGCGACACTGTTAGTTCTAGGCAAGGCAGCTCTGTTGTATTAAAGGAAAAGAAGCAAAAAATAGAAGAGAGGATTCAAACCGATACCTTCATCAACATCTGACAAAGACTCCTCACTGAGAGTTTCTGGCACATTGGCCTGGACTGTGTTTTGGATACACATACAGTGAAACATGCACGTTAATGAGAATGACATCACATAGCACACAGTATATGGGAATTATGCACTTTCATTGATTTTAGGGCTCAGTGATGAAATTTCAAAACATTTTTTTACATACCTTCATCATCTGACATATCGAGGAATTCATTCATGGTCTCAGGGACATTGATTTTATGCTTTTCGGATGCACTCTGGAAATTCAAAAAAATACATATATTATATATTCCTCACCTGTTTTTTTAAGCAGTTACAAATGGATTTTCTTAAATTATGATATGTCACATAATCACTTTAAAATCACTGCCTTTCACATTGCTACATATTAAAAGAAAGTACTGAAAGTGACATTGTTGTTGATATTTTGAAAGTCAGTTTATGCGTGACAGCAAAGGGAACATAAGAAGAGATGATCTTGATTATTACCCATTCTTTAAATATTTTATCAGCTGAAGCTCTGATAAATGTAGTCAGCTGGTGTCAACTTCAGGATATAAGTTGCAAATAAAGTGGAAACTTCACATATATTTCCTTATTTGGGCCTTAGACTGGGCTCCAGGCCCTGTCATAGCAAGAAGTAGTCATACTGTATTTCTGAAGGCCATCTTGACCCAGATAAGCGATCAGAAAATGTTTCAAAGTCTGCAGATGTAGGCTTAAGAGCAACATAAAACAACAGCAGAGGTCTGTGTACGGTGAATAATAGATCAGTCACACTGAGGTGTGAGGAGATGACCTTGATCTTTTATTCACACTCCTGTGGTTTAAAGCATTTATGACGAATACACTTTCCTGCTGATTGTGCTGGATCCTCAGTGACCTCTTTTCCTGGCTCTTCGCTCACTGTCCCCCTCACACGCTTGTCACTTCTTCATCACTGCCTGTCTTTCTGTACCTCACTCATCTGCTCATTAGGGTTAGCTGTTAGTATCGCTGTTAGTAACGTTGGCTATACGAGGGGAATCCTTAAGCTCCAATCTGAGCCGTCCCTTTCTCTTAAGCAGGACAACTTCACACATGTGACACAGCGTGACAGACTGACTTGCAAGCTCATTTGCAGTATTCACACCTTAACTCCACTTACAGTGTGCTGCTGGCTGTCCACGGCCACGGTTTATTTTTGGCAATGAGCTAGCTGCTCGGTAAGAAAACACTAGTAGTTTCACAGACAAATAAAAAACATTATTTCTATTGTTCACTTTTAAGCAAACAACAACCTTCCTAATCCAACAAACAACCAAAGTGATACTATTTCTAATGCACTGTACAACTTTTAGTTCCGATATTCTTGTTTCTCCTAATGTCAGAGCCCAAAAAGCATTGCAATCAACTCTGAAATCTTACATATCAGAAAATTCTTTAATGCACCAACAATTAAAACCAGAACCGGAAACTGCATGAAAATGTAAAGTATCACAGGGTGACAAAGCTGATTTCCACATAGTTAATACCTAAATAAAAATAAATGGCTGCCAAGAAAATAAAACATAGAAGTTTACCCTTCAGTGTCTGGAAAATGAGATTTGCTCCTGTTAATTTGCTAAAACATGATAGCTGTCAGTTTATTATTTAAACTAATGAAGCTGAATCATCAATAAAAATCACACAGTCTCACACACCCCAAAAAAAGAAAACATACATTAAAACTTTTCAATAAGAAGCACAGAATCTTTGCCCAGCTGTCAAGTTACACAAAATATCCATCAGTTGATGTATGATGTAATTATATGTCTTAAGATTGTATGTCTTAAAGCATGTGAGATGGCATTGACAAGAAGTCAGTATCTTACCATAGTGGCCAAGTTTTCATCAGTCACAGGCCTCAGAGTGTCAACCACAGAGATGTAACCAAGACGGCGGGCAATGGATAGGGCAGTGTTCCCGTTCTTACCAGTGACAAAGACACACAGAGGAAGTTACACACAGAAAGGAAAAAAGCATTCAGTATTTCCTCAAACTTAAGCTCTGCTGTCCAGCCCGTGTGTTTGTGTACTAACCACAGTGAGTTCGTTGGCCGAGGCCCCGTTCTGAAGCAGCAGGTTGATGATGTGGGTGTGGCCCTGCTGAGCAGCTTGGTGTAGAGGAGTGTACCCGTTCTAAGCACAGCCAGACAAACACAATCAGTTTGTCCAGGAAAGATGCAAATACACTGCAGGATTGCAGGAAGGTCTTCAGCAATACAGCGATACAAGACTGTATGTGTGTGATTCTGTGTGTCTACCTTGGTTTTGCCATTGACTCTGGCATGGTTGTGCAGCAGGAAGTTTGCCATCTTTGCATTTCCATAGTGGCAAGCTACATGCAGCGGAGTGTAACCCATCTGGAATGACAAATGATGGCGGAAAAGGCACAGACAATTCAATTAAAACAGGACGGAAAATTACTCACAAGTGCCAACTGCAGACTATAATTTGTTACGTCACAGTTTACTAGAGAGCTGGCCTGAATTTTGGAAAGTTTATATTTTAAGTGTAAAATTTACCAGGCAAATATATAAATCCTCTCACATAATGGGATTTCTCTAAATCCTAAATTAAAACTGCATCGTATTTCATCTGCTCTATGAATTATGTATTTGTGTATCATGGAGATCAGAGGGTGAATAACCTCTTTGCTGTAAACAACTGTCCTGTCAGCACAAACACACCACAAATAACCTTGTGTTAGCCCAACCTTTAGCTACTGCAGCTCTTAGTGAACGTGGTTATGTGCATGAATGTGTTTGCTGCATCCATAACAACATGATCACCTTCTACTCAGGTAACAATCCTTTATTTATGCAGCAACTGAGATGTCGGCAGACAAGTGAGTGTATGAGCGTGTTAAGCGCTCATACACTCTAAAAGAAGCAAAGAGGAAAATCAGGATAAGCACATAAAGCAAATTAACTGATGGAAGTTAAAAAAGTATAAATATGCAGCAAACCTGCCTACTCAAGTATTTACAGTTTTCCCATGTGTGCAAGAAGTCATCTGAGAAAGCTGTACCTTTGTTTGTGGGTTGACATCAGCCCCATGATTGAGAAGGACTTCAGCAACATTGACCTTGTCCTCCTGAGCTGCTAAGTGGAGTGGTGTTAGTCCGCTCTGTATATGAAAAAAGGAGAAAAACATGCAAATCCACAATTACATTTATTAGGGTGGGTGTGCAGAAGAAGAATGAAAAGTAGGGTGTTTTTCAGAAAACTTGTTTGAGAAGTCGAATGTGTTATGGCAAAAATCATGACAAGTGTTTGTCTACTGGGTAAGAAGGATTGTGGGCCATATACATGTGTAAGCTTAATTACATTTGTAGTAGTTCCTGTATAAATACTATAGCTATGTGACAGATTCTACCTTGTTGCACACGTTGACATTAGCGTTCTTGGTCAGCAGCAGTGACACCAGATCCACGTTGCCCTCCTGTGCTGCAAGGTGAATTGGGCTGATGCCTTGCCGCGTCACTGCATTGGTGTCTGCACCGTACTCCAGCAGTGTGGTCCCAATTTCCATTTGGTTCTTCTTGGCAGCGATATGAAGGGGCATGTAGCCGTTCTAAGGTCCGCAAGAGAGGCGTAGAGGTTAGGAGGCTAGACCGAGCTCTTCTATGGTTGTAATGGCTAGTACATTATTATATCTATTTTACTGTAACAGAGAAGTTGCTAATTGAAGTAAGGGTTGGATAATGCAGTTTTCATCTATAATGTACTGCAGTCCATTCTCAATCGAAATGGTATTAATTTCATACATTATAGATTAAACTATGGGCAGGGCTGAAGGGTGTGTCTAAAAGTAATTTTCATTTTATCTACAAAACTTATACTCAACTCCTAAAGATCTATTACATGATAGATGCAGCTGAAAATCAGGATACAGCTTTGACTAAAATGTTGCAATTTTGCATCAGGACGTATAATCCAGTTTGTCATGAAAACAAACTTACAGCACAAGGGTCTTTCAACTTATTGACAGTCAAGAGGCTAGCGTGGCCAGCCTAACGTATCACAGGTAAAACTGATGGGAAAACCTCAGACAGAAGGTTGACCTCAGCTGTTACACACATTCACAACAGTGAAAGTGCTAGAGACAAAGTGTACAAACAGGAGTGCAACTTAAACGTGAACAGTCACCACACTGTCTTCCTCCTTTTTGCTACTGTGGAGGAGAGGACCTGAGAGAAAACATTACAAAGTAGCAGTAGAGGGCTACATTCAAACCTCTGGGTAGCCTTGAGGTCTGCAAGGGAGAAGGTAATTCTAGCTCAAATGAGAGTGAGTAAAAGGATAAGGTGAGTCTGGAAGAGGGAAGAGCCTCTATTTACAGAGCCTAACTTGGATTCCTTCTTTGATTTAATTTACGACACTGTGTAAAGCAAGACTTATACTTCAAGTCAAAATCCATTTATTTCTATCTCCATCACTAAGTAGAAAAACATCACACACGGAGCACAGTTTATGGTACTGCAGGGAACTATTGCAGCAATAACTGCAATAGTAACCCTACTCGTGTCTCTGTGTTAGCGCCTCTATACAACTCCTCTTGTACACACTGATTGATTTGTTTCCAAAAGCACTTAAATTAGATCAAGCACACTAACTTTAGAACCCAGCCAAATGAAAAACAATTTGAGAAAGAAAGAGAGAAAGGAAGAAGGCAGGACAGAATGAGTGTGGGAAGGCGACAAGAAAGGCAAAGGAATAAATTTAGACAGACGCAGATTAAGGGAGAGAAAGAGAGCTAGGATGGACCAAAGTGGCTTTGCAAGCTTTGGTCTCCTTTTGTGGCATGTCACTTGACAGTCCAGGCAAAACAGGCATTTCCTGCCACATTTTTGGTTGGTTCTGGCTTTTTGCTCACACTCGTTCTGCGGTTTCGACAGACTCTTAAAGCCTGGCAGGAGACAAACCATAACTTGACCACTTATGTTTGTCTGTCTAACTTAACAGCTTTTTTAAGGTTTTTATTGGGAATACATCATTTTCTCAACTCTTGAACAGACAAAAAAAAAAGGAAATGTTAGTGGTTTGGCACTATTACTGACTCTGGAGTAATTACATTTCTTGTTTTTCGGAGAAACACAGTATATTGCTTGCAATATGTAGCAAACCAGCAACTCAAATCTGCTGACAGCATGACCTCATTTCAGGCTGGTCGGGTGGTTTGTAAGACTTGACTGAGCACAAAATAAAACTCACACTTTCACTGATAAACGATGAAACGGATGGAGGAAATGGGCGAGCATTAGATCCACATTCACACGGATGAATATTACACATAAATCATTATTAATGGGATGTTACGTAAGTGATAAGCCAGGTGAGTTCCCCTTAACACGTGTATTGATATGTGTTTGTGTGGATACCTTGGCGGCAGCGTGTGGGGAAGCTCCCTGATCCAGCAGCAGCAGTGCCACTCTCTGATTATCGTAGTGAGCAGCTACATGCAGAGGAGTTAGCCCACTCTAAAACACCCACACACACACACACACACGTACAAATGCAGAGACACATCCACACACACACACACAGGAACACAAACACACAGGCATGCAACACAACACTGGATTAGAAGATCACCGACCACACCCAAGCACAGACACGCTGATTAAGAAATGGTTAGAGATGGGCATCGAACCGATGAAAGATACAAAGTATAGGAGACGGTTAGAGCTCTAACTTCATGCGCTAAAGGAAGATGGCATTATTAGGAAACTGAGTGAGAGAATTTTCCTGCTGGCCTGCTGATAGACTTCAATGTATCTTCAAAATGTTGACTTTGCAGCACTTACTTACAACGGCTACAGTATTTTCATTTGGAATTCAATAGCCATGTCAAAACATGCTAAAGTCATCTCAAGTGTGCAAAAGCACCAAAATTGAAGATACACACTTTTCACTGGCCAGCAAAGATGTGACTAAAGCATTATTTTTATAGCAGCAGAAAAAGGATTAGTATTAGTTTACCAACAGCAGAACAGTCTAGTTATTATTTTAACTTAAATGTTTAGGGTTTATGCTTACAGCATAAAAAAATGTGATCAGAAAACTGAATCTAATAATTGTTTTAACCAAAAGCATGTGCTTATCTGCCACTAGTTGTTCAAATTATATATTTTGAGACAAGATTTCTCAGTGTATCCATCGACACAAGTGGGAGATTAAAGGGTCTGCATCACTCATGTTAAACCACAAAAATGTGCTCGACATTACTCAATCATAGGACGTGTCCCACAGAAGGTGAATGCCCAACCAGGCCTCCGCACAGTGTGGCTCACTAACAACAACCTTCCATAAAGAGAGTTTCAAGGTCATGTCTTTGTCTTAATACTTTCTATAAGAGTTAGATGGTGGAGGCATTATGTAAATAATGGTCTGTATACATGGAGTACCTTATAATCTTAGGCTCTAAAAGTGTTTTACAATGTTTTCTCATCAAAACGCACACGCAGAGAGATCAAACAGGGCGGCATATGCTGGGACATACTCATTATTTCTACCGAAATATATAAAAAAACCATATAATATCTTAAAGTCTTTATTTTCATCTTGATATAAAATGTATTATAATAATAACGACCTGATTTCCTTCTTTGTGTATCTGACACTGAGGCAGATTTTAGCGTGACACCACCAGACACTGTGGAAGTTTCATTATCATATCTGACAGTCTTTATGTTAAACGCTTTCAGATGGTGGCAAAGACGCACATACGCCTAGTGCCAGCAGGTCTCAGCTAACTAAGTCTCTATCAGTGGAATAAAAGAAATCTGCCTACAAGGTTTTTGCAACAGGACAAGCATCTGTTTGATGTGTCGCACTGTGATCAGACCTCAGCTTGCTTCCACCACACTACTGCCTCCCAGCATCTGGGCCAGCTGCAGCTCAGAAAACACAACACAGCCCTGCTGACTATCTTAGAGATGAGAACATGAAATTAGGAATTTAAAGTTTAAACTGCACTTTTGCTGTCTGTCATTTCCTTGCTGAACCTGCCTGCTCGTCTTAAACAGGTCATCTTTTTCTGTTTCTTAAATTTATGCTCAGAAACTCTCCGCCTTTTCAGACAACTCACCTTTCCAGCAGCATCAGGTGCAGCTCCCTTCTGTAGGAGCAAACTGGCTACCTCCATCTTGCCATACTTTGCTGCCACATGGAGGGGACTGAATCCTTTCTGTTAGGCCAAAAAAAAGGAGAGCAGGGAGTAGTGAGGGTATTTAAACAGGAAGTGAATATTTGCATTATTTTAGGTCCCACTTGGCTGGTGTGGGATCGAGCTTTTCCATAAGCAACATAGTTTCTCACTGTGTCTTTCAGTGCTCAAGTCACAAATGAAAACAAAACAGCAGCAGCAAAGATTTTGTGGTATTCGGACTGAACAAAACAGAAAGTTTGGTCTTAAGAGCAACATCTCTTTCCTTCATAAGACACAGGACACCGAACATTACAGTCCAAATAGGTTAAAAAGTTCAACATTGTGAAAACATTTTCAATAAAGTTATATTTTAGCCATATTTAAATTAGGATGGATTCACTTTATTAACAACACTCAAATGCAAAATAACTTACAAATGAGTATTGTCTGTGCATGAGTAATTTTCTCTTAGCATATAACACAAAAAAACCATAGAGGTTCATTATACTGAGAAGGCAAAGGTCTTTACTATCTCTTGAGACAAATGCATGTCTATTACACATTTTGCTGTGATGCTGGGTTTGATTTGCCAGTGTGATCACTTGGCTTCCTTCCTGTGTGTATGCAAAGATATTTAAAGACATTAGATCACATTTTCCAGAGGAATGTGGGACTCCACAGATTCCCATTTTCTCTGAAACACTTGACCTCATTTGTGTGACAGTAGTATTCGTGCCAATTTTAAACATTTTATTCATTTAATCTGGTTTATAAACACCTAAAAGGGATCAAGTAATCTGCTCGATGGCACAAACTTTCTGTTTTCACACAGATATGATATCATTTGCTTGAAAAGCCGACTAAGGTAAAGTCCCAAAAGATGCTATATGTGTGTGTGTGTGAGGAAGTAAGAGCCCACCATGGGGTTTACCCTTCATTAATCTGCTCTGCTAACAGAAGTCACCTTCAAAGACAGTCCACAGAAACATATCACACTCACATCTTCCAAACCCATTTTATACTTCGAGCAATGCACTTTTATGCAATTAGTCAGATCTGTATGTCAGTTTAGTCAGTTTAGTATGCTTAGACTATGAATTCTTTTGCTGGGAGAAGGACGTATTTAGGCATTTATTTCATATGACAAGAACCTTGGAGGCCACTCGAAACAGAAAACCATGCCTACTAGTGGAGATACTGGAAAATGGGAACATTATCTACATTGCAAAATAATGCTTAATCTTCCACAAGACATACCTTTGTTGCAGATGAGAGTGAGGCACCATTGTCCAGGAGCATGGCAGCAACATCATGGTGTCCTTCGCGGGCAGCCAGGTGAAGGGGGGTGTAGCCTGAGGTGGTGGCAGCATTGGCAGACGCACCGCAATGCAGCAGCTGCTGGACAATGTCGACCTTCCCCAGCCGACTGGATATGTGCAGCGCTGTCTGGTCATCCTGCAAAGAGAGGGGAAGTGACTTTTTGGCCCAGTTCTGTATCCCTTTTTGTTTTCTCCTTGACACAGTGATTGATAATGACGCTCTGTGTTCTAACCTTGGACTTGGTCTCCACCTTGGCTCCGTTCTTTAGCAGGTATCGGACTACGTCTGCCTGGCCTGCCCTGGCTGCCATGTGGAGAGCTGTCTCTCCTCGCTGGAAGATACAAAGGTTGTTGGCAAAAGGGAGATTTTCTAATCTGTATCGACATGTAGTACATTAAAATTAGTCTACTTACCACATTGGTGGTGTTGGGCGAAGCTCCGTGGTGCGTCAGCGCATGGACAATGTTTTCATGGCCCATAAAGGCTGCCACATGAATGGGCGTCAAGCCGGACTGCAGATAACAGATACGATAATCAACATGAAACATTAAAACACTAAAGACCAAATCAGCAACCAAGTTTTATCCTGAACATCAAAACCAAACAACAATAAGATCAATTCCAAGTAATTATTATGTATTAAATGATACAGAAGAGTAAAGGTGTTCCAGTCTGGTTGGTGCTCTATTACCTCTGTGACAGCCTGGATAGACGCTCCATGTTTAAGCAACAGCTCCATCACCTTGACTCTGTTCTTCTTGCAGGCGATATGAAGCGGAGTGAAACCATTCTGCATGATGAGAAAGTGTAAAGCTAAGGCTGGTATTCCAGTACGATCACTGAGAAACTCCCCACAGCCTCTAAACATGTGCAAATGTGTGAATGCTGAGATGTGCCAGGATGTAAATGTGTGGTAAAGAAAATGTAAATATGAGGAATAAACCTGTTTTCAGTCCTGTTTTAAACATTCATATCAGCACATATCTATTTATTTCACACAAAAATAGTCTATATCATTAAAACAACAACAACAACAACAAAAAATCCAACACAGACAAAGCTATCAGAAAATAGACAGACAGTAAAACTTTACATTTATATTTATATCTGCACTGTAAAGCTACCCAAACCAAACCATTTATTTTTTCTATGAGTATAATATTAATCATAAAAGCAAAAGTGTCTTTTGGTGACTAACACCTACCAACATCAACATTTCAGTATTTCTTGAACGTGATTTTTTGTCACGATCACGTGACTTTTCTGTTTTGCACCCCCATTCTTAACACCCCTTGTACGGCTTTATCCCTACCAGAGCCTTGGCATTTGGGTTGGCCTTCTTGTCCACAATGAGCTTGGCCACCTTGTAGTGACCGCAGTGGGCAGCAACGTGCAGCGCCGTAAGGTAGTCATTGGTGACGTCATCCACGGGCACGTCGTGCTGGAGCAGGAGCTGGACGCAGTTCAGGTGGTCCCCCTGAGTGGCCATGTGGAGAGGCGATAGGCCGTTCTATAGAGGGCCGAGACAGGGAAAGAAAGAGAGAAAAGGGGAGAGAAAGAGAGAGCCAGACAAAGGAAGAGAGCGACAAACACACACGCAGACGGACACATAGACAGATGGACAGACAGACACAGTAAGTTAGGACGCGGCCATGCGCTGCACAGAAAGACTGCGAAGGAAGTTGCTGAGAAGGTTACAGAAGCATTGTTATAACGAGGCCATTACAACAATGTCTATTTTGTTACGCTGGTCGTCCTGCGCGGTCAAACTGTAGGGCTGCGAAGGCAGCGGAGACAGGCTGTTCTGGAGAGGTCGCACAGATGTTATGGAGACAATGCGACAACACTACAGCAACAACAACAGACCTGCTATGTGAGTGGATGACAATTATTTAAACAGCTCCGAGTGGTTAGGAGAGCTGATTTTGAAAACAAAGGTATTCCAGTGTTATTAACATCGTGTATAGTGATCTATTCTGGTCTGATTTATATTTAACTTAATGAAAAAGATGTCATGTGTTTGTGAACTTTCTTTTCTTCCCTATTCTGAGCTTAGCAGCATCTCCTGAATTGATCATCCAAGTAACTACCTTGGTCTTGGACAGTATAGGAGCTCCTCTGTCCAGAAGAATTTCTACCACCTGCTCGTGTCCGCTCCGTGCCCCACAATGAAGAGGTGTCAGACCGTCCTTAAAAGAACAAAATAACAAAATGAAACACTTTTTTAAATTTGCATTTTACTGCTACAGACAAAAATGTCTGTAAGTGTAAAAAACAACCTCAAGTGCCTTTCTAATTGTGAAAAAAGTCTTACCTTGGTCTTTGCATCAATTTTGGCCCCTCTGTCCAGCAGCAACTTCACCATATTGCTGTTGCCCCTTTTTGCGGCCACATGAAGCGGTGTGATATCATTCTAAGTGAAAAAGTGGAAAACTCTTAGACGGTTCTGCTCTCACATTATGCATTTAAACATATCTACAATTAGACAGAATTAATCATCATCATTAGAAACTCGTCATTAAATTGACTTGTCTGCAACAGACGGTAATGCTTTGTTGCTAGCCAGCTCCATTGTTTAACCATCCACCACTGCTGGTGGATAATTTTCTGGACCTTACCTGTAATCAGTCTAAAAGCAGCACAAACATAAACACCACTTCACACACTAGCTGATTCAATTATAGGCCACTGATCACTCTGATTAGTAAACATCTAATATGGAAAACCATTTTCTAAGACAACATCACTGAGATTACTCTGTAAATGTCACATAAAATCTCTTCCAGGTCTTTATATTTAATCATATCTCAAAAAAATATATAAATTCAGTCTGAGAATAACATAACAGATACATATATAACAAAATGTCCCATTGTTCTAAAAAATCTCCCATTTCATGAGGGTCTTTATTAATCCAGAATCTCTTTCTCTTTACCACTGAACACCTATATATTTATGGGAATGAACACAAATACATTAGGCTTCATCGTACCGACATTACTTCCAATACTTGCACTATTCTGTATGTGTACTATTGTATTTATTTATACTCATTCTCATTATTTTCTATTCCTTTATTCTTTTCTATTCAAGTCCAGTACTGTTGTATTTATTCTTAGTTTATCTTATTTCTGTATAGTTGTATAAATGTATATTTGAATTTATTTCATTTTAATTTTTACATTTTGACCCAAGAAGACGATATTTCGTCCCACTGTATACTTGAGTGTATATTGTTGGGTTGACAATAAAACTCTACTTGACTTGACTTGACATTAAAGTTTGTGTGTGGGTGGTTTGGGTTTCACTGTTGTTTTTTCCCTTGAGTAAACAAAATATGCATTAGCCTAAAACAGAATTCATGTAAAAAGAAATCCCACATTTGACACCAATATTTTCAGTCCATCCTATTTTGCTTAAGGGTTTACATGCAAAATATAAGTTTATTCTTTGCTTTTGCATTCAAGGAGCATAAATGTGACAGATGTTTGGGAAATCAAAGTGATTTTCCTCTGCCATAAAAGCTAAGCTATACCTTTGTTTTACAGTTTCATAGGTTTTCTTTGAATCCATTAAATATAACCGTATACCGAATTCATTTTTATTGTGTGTAATGGTTACACCTTTCCCAACCAGCAGAGGGCAGTAGAAACTCACCCGAGCCATGAAGTCCACAGCAGCCCCGCGGTTCAGCAAAAGCGTGGCTACATTAATGTTGCCATAATGCGCTGCGATGTGGAGGGGGGTGAAGCCACTCTGAGGATTGAAGAAATGCAACAACACACGTGCAGACAGACAAATAGACACACCATGTTAAAAAAAAGTGGAGCAACATCCACACAAGATCAAACATCTGGCTTTACAAAGTCCCACTACATCAAACAAGGACACACTGGTTGCACACTGCTACACTGACACCTGACTTTTCTAACAGTTGTAGAAAAAGTATATTTTTTCTAAAACTGTTAGAATCAAACATGGGCCCAACTAAAATATAACAATTTTACATTTAACTAACATCAAACTAATTACAAAGATATGAGTGTAATATACAACCTGATTGGAAAGATCAAGAGCTAACTGGTGTAAATCTGTTTAATTCTATTTACAGCTTTCTGATATTTTTAGCCGCAAATAATCACCCTGCAAATGAATTTAATCTCCATTTGTTAACATCTTCAGTGAGAGATGTATCCTGATATAACTCCTGGATTAGCTGTCGGAGCAACTAAAAGACACTGGAAAATATCTGTGACCTTATGTCTTACATTAAACAATCCAACTGCTGGAATTTAATTTCAAAGAGCCAAAAGTCAATCAGTAATTCAGACACGTGTCCCCACTGATATCCTGAACTGAGAAATCGTACCACAAAGTTCACCAAAATTAAAATGATTTATATCCGCCTTGAAAAAACACACTATTCATATAAAACAGATTACAGTGTCTTTCTTCTATCTGAGTACACATTTGTTTAACACAATGCACAAGTCTGAAATGAAAGCCATTTTTGGATGAATCATATCAGAGCCTGCCAAAACCACAAACAATGCCAACCAAAACAGGCACGCACAGAAGGTGGCCACCTGGCTTTGGTTTAAAAAAGGGGCCAATGTTACCACAGACGCAGTGTCACACTAGCTTGTTACTTTGGTCCCATGCAAAATGCTTTAGGTGCTAGTGTTAAATGTTGGACGTACTAGAGCTCGATAAAGGATGCACCAGTAAACAAATTAGAGAGCCTGACTAATGCAGGGATTCTTTAGAGTGTAAAGGGAATTAGACTGCCATGCAAGTTATGGACAAACTGCTGGTTTCAAATGAATGATAACCATTTTTCATGCGTACACTGGTTATCATGCTAATCAGTTTCATGGAGGGACTTAGTCAGGACACATTAAGACAACATATTTTAAACAGTGACAAGGGATTTCCAAAAATAAGACACTTCAGCTTTGGACACCATGAAACCATTAGAATCAAGGAAAACCTTGATACCCAAGCCTTTAGCCTCAGATTTATTAAATCAGTATTTGTGAAGCATGCGCTTTAGCTCTGATTTTTCTCAATGACCAGATATATCCACTAGATTGATGAAGCAATGAAAAGGAAGAAGGCAGTACTGAGCTAAAATGGAAAAGGGGGAGTGACAGAGGGCTGCAGAAACACTACTGCATCAAGTCAGGGGCACTGAAGTGATTGTCGTTGTTGTTTTCAGAGTTTTTATGAATAGGATGAACACTACATAATGTACAGAGTAGAGGTGTACCTCTGTTGTTCTATTCACCATCATCTACAGAGTCAGCCAAGAGAGGAGAGAACGGGCAATTAGTGAGAAAAAAAAAACAAATTAAAAAGGGCCTTCACTCACATGAAGTGGAGGAGCAGAAGAGGGAGAGGCAGCTCAGCGAAAAATAATCTATGGCAGAAAAGTTTCGGTGTGCAGACTGCGCTCTTGAAGTTTGATTTTAAGAATGAGAAGGATATTCTCAAACTCAAATCGTTTCAGAGATAAAACGGGCCAAAAAACAAACAGGAATGTACTTCTGCTTCTTTTCCGAAAGAAAGAGCATCAACAACAAATTCAAACAATAAAGAGAAAAGTCAGCAAGAAAAAAAAAGACAATCAAGAAAACCAAAGAAATCAGTGTTAAAAACAAATAATCAAATAGACAAAAAGAAAGCAACCAACTGATCATTCACCACCAAAGATGGGCTGCATCAGCGGTTTTGCTCACCTTGGACTCGACGTCTGCGTTGTGGTCGTTCTGCAGGAGCAGGGCCGCGGCCTTGGTGTCATCCTTGCGTGCGGCAATGTGCAGGGCAGGCAGGCGCACCTTGCCCTTTGTATCGTTCTCCAATAGCAAGGAGACCACCTGGTCATGGCCCTGCTGGAGGGCCACTGCCAGAGGGGTAAAGCCATCCTGCGAAAGAGGGGAAGAAATGAGTAACCAATGCTGGATGGCGTGGATGATGAGAGCAAATTAAAAGCAGCTTATAAAAAGCAAAATAATTTTTAATAGTTTTATAGGCAATGATGAATCTAGGCTGCTCACATTATTTGAAGGTATTAATTATTATAATAAACAACTAGGTTATGTCAATAACAGTGATGTGTTTTCATAAAAAAATAGAGGCAGCTTGACCTAGAGGAGCATTTAGAATTAATTATAACTTCATATAATGTAGAAGTTACTGTACATTTCCAAGCCACATCTCTGTGTAGGACACAAATGTACGTTACATAATAAGAGGATGTGGAGAAGACAGCTCACATCTTCAGTATTTCCCACTCACATTGCCCTTATGATACATAATTCAGCCAAAAGCTCTGCCATTTTATTTTACTGTGTTTTTGATACTGCATGTCTCAGTATGTGTGGGCAGAAGTGTGCACACACACACACACACACATATATATATACATTTTTTTCCTGTCCTGATAAGCCTCTTTCAAGATGAGGGGTGACTCAGCCCAGCTGAACACTGATGGGAGATTATAGACTGACAGTGCAGTGCGCTCCATCGCCATCATCAAAATACTAAACGAGGGACTATTTAATTGGAAAAATTGGGTTTGAACCCTCCTGGGGGAAGTGCTAAGGCACTTCCTTTAATTTGTCACCAGCCTGTATATAACCATATATCATGTTTGAGTAGATACTGTGCATGCGTGCCCATAAATGTAAACTTGCAGACGACAGGGTACACTGGGTATTGTATCACCTGCGTATGTGCACGTGTGTTTGTGTGAACGTGCTGTGACTGGAAAGTGTACGTGTGTACGAGTTCCACAGACTAAGCAACGTTAATCAGAGCAGTAACAGCAGCTGTAGAGAGGAGGCAGGGAGCAGAGCAGACCTCATCAGTGACCCGCTCAAGGTCACTCTACCTCCTCCGTACACTACCAATCAATGAAGTTCTGCCTAGTCCCTCATAAAGAGATGAGGAGGGAGGAGAGGAGGTGGGGCAGGCAGAGGAGAATAGGGGAAAGATAAGAGAGGGATCATGTGAGACAAAAAAGATGACAAATAGACAGAAACAGGAAAGTGAAAAAGGAGACAAAAAGATGAAGACACCGATGGAGACTGAGGCAAAATGGGGGGTGGAGGAAAAAGGGAGGAAGGGAAGGAAACAAAGGAGGAGAGGAGATGGAGGTGGTTAGTACAACAGATAAAAAAAAACCTTAGATATGACAGTGGCATAGAAGATGCACGGATACATACTGCAGAGAAATGGACACACATGTGAGCACAAGAAACACACACACACACACGTGTACAGTACCTCAGTGGCGATACTCTGGCTGGCGCTGTTCTCCAGAAGGAACCGCACCACCTCCAGGTGATTCTCCTGGGCTGCCATGTACAGAGGAGTGAAGCCATTCTGCACACAACATGAACCAAAAGACACACAATCTTTTTCAAACATTACACAACAACAAACACATTAACCTTTACTGATGCTTACACAAGAAATGATTCCACGTTTCCTTGTATTTAGCCGTTTTAAACTTGGTTTAAACATAAAGTTTCATGTGACATCTCCTAACATGTCATAAATGATGACTATTATAGCAACTGATCACCTTTAAAGTGACATATACACACTGAGTATATCTTAACAAAACGTGTTCCAGTGGTCTGAAGGTAAAGACTTTTTCCTCTGCTTGCTGTTTATTTTGGACATTATCAGAGAGAAAGAAGCTGGCTGAATATTTTCTCTCGCTTCGATCTAATAGAGTTAAATGTGAAATGCAAGGACAAGCAGTTTCCTGAAGAGGCAGAGGCCTAGTTGGCATTATGCCAGTTTCGGTCAGTGAGGATTTCTCCCTGTATGTCAGCGACTATCTGATATAGATCATCTCAACAGCAGTGTAATTATACCTACCCTAAAGCCAGACCACCAAGACCTTGCTGTCATTTTGACATTGACTTGCAGGCATTTTGAGCATATCCCACCTGAGATTGTGCGTTGACATTGGCTCCATTAGTGACCAGCTCTTTGACGACTTCCGTTTGGCCAGCCAGCGACGCTATGTGCAGAGCAGTGTTTCCTTTCTGGATTACACGGAACAACCAAAGGAATGCGTGTTAAGCTCTGGCCCACCTGTCCCACTGTACTGCTTATGTGTATGTGTGCGTGTGTGTATGTGTGCGTGTGTGAATGTGACTGATTGCCACTATGCTCTTCATATATCCACGTCAGTATCTATGTGCACCCGTGAATCCCCTTACACAGATCACATGCTTGTACTGCTGGCATTCCAGCTCTGGCATCCCCCTGCATGCAGTGCCAACAATGTGTCACTTCCTATCCCGCCGGTAAATAAAACTAGTGGAGACTTTTTAAGAACCTGTGCAGTTCCTTGTGAGGGCAGAGTCGACCCTCAGCCTGATTCATGGCCACGTGATCCTGATGCTAGTTGGTCACAAGGTTCTTTTGCACAATAGCGATCAGTCACGTATAGCGTATACAGTAGCAGGGAACTCTGATTGCCATGGCTCCTAACAAACAGACAAGTTTCTCACTCAAAGCTGCTAAAGATGCCAAATTACAGTTATTTGCAAGCATTGCTGAATATAAAAATTAGTTTAATGGTTGAAACTCTGATTTCTTCTATTTCAATATGATTTGTAGTTTTTTTTTTTACAGGTTTATAAAATATCTGTGTTTTGATACGCTGTCACTTTATTTTAATATTCATTTAGTCACCTTATTATTGTTGACAGGCTAATTGTACTTATGTTTATCCCTTTATTACCTTTTTTACATGCTGTAATGGCCTTTTTTGGAGCATTTCAACTTGCTATACATCAAAATATAAGTAATTAGGCCATAGTAACAAAATAAATCACAAGAAATGCAGTAAAAGAAATTGAAAATCTTCTTTATACGGACTAGATATAGAAATGTCATAGCTATATCCATCAAAATTGTAAATGAAAAAAAAGTTGCACAAATATATAGAGATATATTTATATATAGGGAGAAGAGATATTTATATATTCATATGTGTCTAACGAGACACAACATTAGTACAATACTACATGTTTGAGGCCAAACGTTTCAGCTTTTGTTTGGAATCGGGTTCATTCAGATCTATCGTAGCCTTTATGAGTTATAACACTTAAACAGCAGTGTTAAAGAAGTGCTGGCTGCACTATTTGCAGCTAACGGACAAGTTACATTATTTAGTTTTGCAAAAATACCAACTCCTGTGCTTGAAAAAATGTGCTAATGTTTTCACAGTGTACATTTGAGCACTGAAAACACACAGATAAAGGCAGGTGAAGATCTTGGCCTTATTTTAAAAAAAAAAATGATTAGAAAAATACTCCTTAAATTCCTTCATGCTGAGAACCCTCAAATATTTTTGGCTAAACAAACACTATGAATACCATTTTAAAGACACATATTTAAGTTCAGGTAATCCAGTGCAGCGATGCCACTACAGCTCAAAAGATCAGTTATTGTATCACTGACTATTAATGAACACAGGACTTCTTGTTTAACTCTAGCAGGGGCTAATGAACAATAACTAGAATCAAACAGAGACGCTGTTGCTAAACAAGAATCCTCGATAGCGTTGCCTCCTCTGGCTGCTTAAAGAGGAAACTGATCGGCATTAGGATGCAAGCAGACACAGGCATATCAAACGAATCCTCGAGCATCCTCCAGGTCACAATACAGAAATATTTTAATTGGGAAGATTTTTTCCTTGATCTTGAATATTTTATTGTGTCTTATGTTTATGTCAGCACTAGGCGTGTGGCCTGGGGCCCAGAGGCTGAGCCAGACCACTAAATGGCAGTAAAAGGCTTGAGGGGAGAAATATGGAAAACATTTTCAGTGGCTCTTCCTCTGAACTCCTTTTAGATCAGAATTGAGATGCGTCCATAGCAAAAACCTGTCTTATTAAAATATGCATGTTTTTACAATACATAAAATAACACTACAACTGGTTTTACTTATCTAGATGTTTAATACATACAATTCTTGCAACACACTCTTTTGCTTCATTCTAGCACACCTTCTATTATTTTTGCATGGCTAATTACCTTGTCTGCTTCCAGCAGTAGTCCCCATAGACGTCATTAAATATTGATCCAGTATCAAACACTAACAAAGGCTGCACACTTCGTCGTACTGATTCTGCATACTGTTTAATCCTACAGAGATGCCATGATTCGCGCTCGGTCCAAATATAGTCTTCCATTATACCTGATGGAGTTGGTCTTACCTTTGTGGCTGCGTCCACAGTGGCTCCGAGCTTCAGCAGCTCAGCAACAACCTCTACATGTCCCTCCTTGGAGGCCAGATGAAGAGCATTTAGACCATTCTAGGAAGGAAATGTTTATAGGAGTTAGCGGGTCTTATGCATGATGAGATAATATGAGATCACGTTTGATTGTGCATGATACGTTGGCTAAAATCATCTATGTTTTATTTATGGTAAGATAGTGTTTATTAAGTTATACATGAATCTTGTAGTCCTCGTAAATTTAGCTTGGGAAGCATTGCAGTTTAATGTGTACCCTAACATGCTTCTTTAATTCTAAAATCAATGAGCATGCATAAGGACGTGACAGTTCAAATGGTAAAAACTTACTTGATTGCAAATGTTAATCTCAACCCCAGACTTGAGGTAGTCAAGGACTTTTTCGAGGTTCCCTGCCCGGGCAGCTCGTAGGTAACTGGCATTGCTATCAGACTTAAGAGGAGGAGGAAACAAAGAAAGCGAAAGAGGGCACGAGAGGCAGATGAGAGAGAGAGCAAGAACAAAGAGAGACGAATTAAGCACTGTCTTGATTTAAACATAACACATCTTTAAGCCCACAGCAGAACAAAGCATGTGCATTACTGTACCAGGTAGAACTCTGTCATAATTTCTCAGACATCCAAAAACATCTTATCTTGGCAAAAAAACAAAGCTAATATCCACAGATGCAATGTGTCCATTTTTACACCGCGAACAAAAAAAAGTCTACTTGTGCTTCAAAGCAAGAAAACGCAAACATTTCAAGAAGTAAATCCATGAGAAAGCCAACAGAGCCCAAGCATATCTTCCCGACAATTCACATCATCCTTCATCATCCATCAGATCCCACCGGAATGTTATTGCAGCTTTGTTAAATCCAAATGTCCATGATTCCCCAGTGAAAGAAGTTCAGTGACCGGGTGGTCGTTACAGCTGCCACAGAGACCTCCTCTTTTCCTCTGAGATGTTTTCTGTCCACCAGCAAAGCAGTTATGACTCTACGTTGCCGTGCTATGAGAAGCAGAGCATCCGCTGTTCTGCTCAGCTGTCCTTTATTTCACTACAGAAATAGGGCTTTGCACACCAAAATATAATGATGAGGCAAGCATTTTTTTTTTTGCCCCATAACAAATGTGGTGAGCATGTGCGTGTAGAGAAGAAAAGAAAGGGAGGGAGCGAGATGGAAAGGAGGAAGAGAGAAGAAAGAAAAGGAGAAGGAGAAAGCTAAAAAAAAAAAAAGAGAAAAGAAGAGACGAAGGTAGTTTCTTTTCTGTGTTCATGTTACCTCAGAGGACATTAGGTCTGACATAAAATGACACACAGCAAACTCTGCACATTTTGTCTCCCTTCTTCGCAGCAGCCTTGCAAAGAGCATTTTGTAAAACTCAGCACTGGTGCTGCTGAGAGCAGGAGGGAGAGATGCTGTGATATGCTGCTTCATAACAGGGGCACAAAACCAAATTCCCCTGATTTATCAAAAGCCCAGACTTGCTAAATTTAGCTTGCATCCAGAGACATGTAGGATAAACGCAGCAGGGCAATGGTACAAGTGGTTATCCAATGTTGTATTCTCTGCCTCCCCCTCCACTGTGCTTGTCCAGAAATAACTCTGACGAGCATAGAGGGATCTGACCCTTTGCCAAAATGTGAGGGAACAAGACACCAGTATTAGATTGTTCCACTAGTCTGTATAAAAGTTTGAGAGGAAAATATTTCTGTTTGTGCTCTTGCACACGTGTGTGGACAAACAAATTAATGGCAAATGAGGCAGTGTTAACTGGAACCCGAGTCATTTCCTGATTACAAGATTACAAGAAACCATTAAGCTAAAACTTATATATCTGCAGCCACATCTAGAGATTTCTCCTTCCTTTTTCCATAGCCCCAACCCTCTGAGGAATGTGTGATAGCACTGAATCACTAATGATATTTCTGCTCTTGTGGCCTTGAGAAAAAGTCATGCGTGGTACCGAACCAGCATGATAAGTAAACAGCAAAAATGAGCCGTGCACCGAGAACAATTAAAGAAAAATTCAGCTCTTACCTTTATCAAATGCATGTGCAGAGGTAATATTATAAATGTCTCAAAGGTCTAAAGAGGCACAATAAAAGCTTGAGATTCTTTCTTAAGATTGATGCTCTATCAGTGTGTGTGGCTGTGATTATCTTAGCATTAGTTAGCATTAGCACTGCTGAATTGTACCGGGAAATAGGGCTGTGATTCTGAAAGCCTTTAAACATCCAGTGCTATGCTCTGGATCTTCTTCAGAGAAATACCTCCAAATAGCTTTATAAACAACGTGATGCAATGTAAACAATCTCCACAGCAATTAACTTAAAATTAAGCATAACCTTTACTTAAAATTCAGCATAATACAGTGAGTAGGTCTTTTATGATAACCATGTGGCCCAGCCACAGTCAGCAGCCACCCTCTTTCTTGTCATCATTTTTATTTTCTGTCTTCTGTTAGGTCTACGTTTCATTTGTTTTCAACCTACCTTACAGTGAGAAGTGCTGGCTATGCAGGAATGGTGAGAAAATATTGATATTAAATATTAAAGGGGGGCTGTAAAAATAAAAAAGCAACACCATGATGTCATTTCCCCTCCAAAAAACTTCATACACATTTTTCCGCCGCAGAATTAAACACAGAATAATTCAGGCAGGCCTTGAAGTCGAGCACTTTCCACAATCCTGTAGATCATCTGACTTCAGTTCCAGATTACATCAACTTGCTCATCAGACACTCTTTTATGCATCCTATGGGCAGTTCTCATAGAGTTCATACTATCTAAGATGCTTTAAAGCTGCTCTTTGCAACTCACTTCCAACGCAACTTGTCCTTTCATGCTGTTTCTGTCTTAATCAGCGTCATGTCTGTTATCACTATACACTTAAAGGGTGGCATGTCACATCACTATAGTGTTTCTGAACAATATCGAAGATGGGAAGGAAACATATAAAATGTTTCTTTGCCAAAACTTAAATGGGTATTGCCTTTTTGTTGACTTCATGCTTCACTTACTGAAGTCTCTCCACATACTATAATATCTGTGCAGCATACATTTATGTTTCCCACCAACTAAGATGTTTCCTACTAACTGCCATGTGTCCTCACTGTGAAGCATGCTCTGCAATGTCTAAGCCACGTATGAGCTCTTGAGTGCAACCAAATGCGTGACCGCTCTGAAACCCCCTGACATAGAAATGCAAAGGTCACACTGCTGTGGAAAGACAGCATGCACCAATACTGCTGCTTGATTTACACCATCAAATATTACCTAGGTCGAACATGATATCTAATGCAGCCTATAATCGTTTAATACAGATATTAAATGAGGGATGACTGGTTGGCAGCAGATGAGACAGAAAAAATCTATAAACTTCATTACAGAAAAGTTACTTTATTAAGAGCTTTTACGTGTTTCTATGACAACTTGCATAGTCTTTTAAGCATCACATGGTGCTCTTTGCTTCTCGCAACAGATTAAGTAGTCCACATCCATATCTACATTATTGCTGATTTCAGTTTATCCCTTAATACAGTGACCAAAACGTCCAGCCCCACAGCCATCCCCATCTACGTCTAACATGAGGGATCTTGGAGTCTTTGTGAATGAAGTATTACACAGGACTGGGTATGAGATTAGTAAGAGAAATATTATTAAGCCTCCACAGATCAGAGGTTCAAAGAAAATGGGGCCATTAAAGACTAGGTTAAGCCTGAAGGAAAGCATTAATCTCATGTTAGATAGAAAGTAGAGGACGAGAGCGAAATCTGGCACACAAGTGCTAACGAAAAAAGCCTGAAATTATGCCATCACTCCAAATTAACATCTTAAAGAGTCAAAAATTGAGCTAACTTCCAGGTAAGATGGTATAAAAATGAGAATTAACCATATGGGTTAAAAATTAATAGAGCCCTGTTGCCACTGCCTGCAGATGCTCTTCAAAATGAAGAAAAAGAAATGTGAATAAAAAGCAGCTAGGCCTTTGTGCTGGCATTTGATGAACCAAAATGCATGTGTTTGATAACACTACAGCACCTGTTTCATAGAGTGGATACGCTCTTTGAAGAAGAACAAACCCTTAAAGGTTCAATCTGCCTCTTCAAAAAAAGGGAAGCACAGGAACAAAGCACAATCCCTACTGAAATTTTGATAGCACAGATTTCAAATATCTAGTAAACATTCCCTGTTTTTGCTGACATGATATAGACTGTAGGCTGGTAACAATGCATGTGTGGTGTCAACGAATGCTACTCTCCCACAATAAACTTGGAAAATGAGAATCTACTCACAGCAACATTTTTGGATAAAGAAAATAGATCTGTTTTCTTTTTTTGTTTTTCTTGGAGTTTTCTTTCCTTCCAAAGGCAAATCTGATATCCAGTTATTAGAATAAAATTAGCATTACAGTATGACACAAAAGAATGAAATTAAGTGAAAGCATAACGGTCAGATTTTGGGTGGGTCACATCATTCACTTCTTGAATTTGAATTTCATGACCCGTTGCTGCTGCTGTTTGTTTTCATTTTTGCTGAATCTGTAATTGGCACCTTTTCGCTTCATGACATCAACACAGTGATAGTCTATCTGGATAGAAGGTACTTAGTATAAAGAACTGATATCCTGTCTTTCCAGACTACAATGATGTCAGCTTGGCACTATATACCAAGCTCACAACAAAGCAGAAGCTTGCACACTGAGTGGAACAGCATTTATATAGCACTTTTCTAATCTTACTGACCATCCAAAGCACTTTAGACTACAAGCCACATTTAACCACGCATTCATATAGCGCTTTATTATATACACTTTAAATACCAGTCATCCGAAGTCAATTTGGAATCACTAATGAGCCTAACATGCATGTTTTTGGACTGTGGAGTCTAAAAACACGCATGTACCTGAAACAAACCCAAGTGGGCATGTGCAAACTCCACAAAGCAGGATCCCAGCTGTGCTTCAAATCGGGACCTTTCATAGCATGAGGTGACAGAACTAACCGCTGCACCACAGATAAAAACAATGTAGACACACACGCGTTGATGTCATCGCTGTAGGCGCTGTGTGAACTGAGGGAGCTTAGAAGAGGAGAGCCAGACCAGCAGCAGCTGTATTGTTTGATTTTATCCCCTGCTCTCCTGACAACACAAAACTCACAGAGCTCCACAACTCTACAAGCACAGAGCCAGGGGCATTGAGTAACAGGCCACATCTTCTATGAGTGCCAAAGAACCTCATCTCAGCAACCACAACATCCATTCCTCTCAGCTCTAAATAGTCAAACTTCCCAAATCCCCAGCCTTGCTTATTTCCCCATGGAAGCTTGACTTCTTTCTTTTTCACCATGCAAAATACAGAAAAGCTGCTGCTGATTAATCCATCATTTCACTGTCAACAAGCTCACACCAGAAAATCTTAATTAAACCTTTTAGAGACATGGATG